GTGTGTTCTCTTAGGGCCTTGCAGTCTGGGGATAGCAAACTGTCTGAGGTAGTTGGTTTCGTGCTTTCCTCCCGCCTCGTTCCGCCCCGAAAACGGTCAGATGATGTTCTTCTACAAAGAAGATCATGCCCTCCACTTCCATGTCATGCCCTCCACGTCCATGTTTAGAGGGAGGGAAGGGCGCCTCGCATACTCGACTCATGCATGCCGAGTGCCAGTCGTCGGAGACCCCCCCCAGCTGGATGAACCCCACTGAAAAAGGATCATCGATTCAATGAGTTCAGCGGAGCAACTCTGAGATCTCAAGTCATGAGTCATGGACCCAGAAACATGTGCGGTGTCGTTTCAAGCAGGAATTTTGCTGTCTTTGAAACAGTAGCACTCATGGTTCACAGTTTTTGACACCAGTGAACCATGTTTTAATGCTTTGTTTTGTTTTCCTTATTTGTCGGGAAACCGGTGAGGTTTACTCATGTTCACTCGCAAACCTGGTTGCTGTTTCCATCGATTTCCCAAACGATTTCTCAATTTTGTGTTTGCCGTGCCTGAATAATGAATCATCCAAGCCATCCCCCCGAAAACACACAACAAACATCAACAAATACTACCCGAAAAAACATCCAAACAACCTAGGGTTCCCAGGCATGTCCTCAAAAATTTGGGGCCTTCAAACAGAAAACAAAACGCTGGGGACAGCTGTGGTTCCTTTCCGTCTTCGGTTCGCAGGTCGCCCCAACGCCCGGCGCACCTGTCCAGCTTTGGGCGGATGAGCGAGGAAATTCCTGAAGCAGCGACCGGGCGATTCGCCCGGCGTCCCGGTCATTTTGGGTCACGAGGATCTGATCCAACAAGACTTGGAACCAAAGAAGTGTGGCCAAGACAAAGACATGAGAAAGATATGAACACCTGGACCCGACTTCAAGTACCTTAGAAAATGGGACATGACCCCATTGAAAACAAAAAACAGGTACGACTGTACCCATTTTCTGAGGTACTTTGAGACTCCAGGAAGATACGAACATGCGTTGGGGAAGAAAAAGACCAAAACACGGCTCAAACATGGCCAATTTCTAGCGTGGAGAGGACCTGTGTGGTGTTCCGAATGTCAACATTTGCCCGAACGCGACGGGACGTGATTCCCAACGAGCCAACTAGGCGGTTCAGCGGTTCAGAACGTTTCCCGGAGTGATCTTCCGTTTGAAAGGGCCACACCACACCTTAAGAAGTCTCTTGAAAAACAAAGGAAGCGATGTAGATCAACACAAACTTTGGCTAGCGGCTAGCAAACATCTGTATTTCGGGGGACCTATATGGTGTTTTCTCCGGTTTGTAGGTGGTAGACATGTGTAGACCTGCCAGCGATCTTGCAGCCACCAAGGCAGGCCATGTATTTTTTTCGCCCACCATTACAATCGGCTGAATCCCGAAGAAATCCTTACCCAAACACTCCATGTGGACCGCCCTGGCACCACCCCAACGGCCATTTCTCGGCAGTCCTACGGCAGTCCCAAACAGGTCGCTACACCACCAGGTCCACCCGTCCACGTCGACCCGGACCGTTCGTCGGATCGAACTCTCTGGGTCGACCATGGCAGTGAAGGGGGGGGGTGGTTGCCATCGGTATTTTTCCATTTAAAGTCAGCTGAAGTATATGTTCAAAGTCAGAATGATGAGCCAAGAAAAGTCAGGATGCCACAAACTTTGCATCGAAGAAGACAGATCTGCAGCGACAACACGGTATTACGTGGCTTTTTTCATCATGTGAAAGCTTCGCTAGAATGTCGTATGATGTCATGGCTCACTGACAACTTTTGTGAGTTCCACACACATTCTTCGAAGCCACACCAAAGTGAACCGTGTTCGTCTGGAACCTCAAAACATATATAATCCAATCTGAAAAGCAATACGTTCATTTTGGTTCAATGGCTTCAAGCTGGACCAACCTCCCCTTGTCCAATTATGGACCAAACATGCCGCGTCTGGTTCAATACTCCTGACACCCACCACAAACAAGTTTGTGTTAAAAAGGATCACGTCATTGAACAATTGTTTGCCTCGGACTCATGCTAGCTTAAAACTAACTAAGTGACATGTCTATAGTCAGCCAAGCAACCACGCGAAGCCTTTTGTTTCGGCACCCCGTCGAAACGAGTCGGTCGAAACACCGCGCCTGGCACCATTCACCACCTGGGCGGTCGGTCTCCCCCCGCGTGGCCATCTCCCAGACGCTGACGCTAAAAATGGATTGTTCACATGTTTTATGGATAGTGAAAGAAAACACTATATATATGTATGTATACATATGTCATTAATATATGTATATATATATATTTATTTATGTTACTTGTTACTATATGTTCTATTGTTTTCTTCCCGCGTCCAGTTTGCAATGGCCTACATGACTGGTGGGTTCTGGTGGTGAATGTGGGCCACCATGGAGTGTTTCTCCACCCCCTCGACAAGGCTCCAGTCGTTGGTGCGTGAATGTGGCGTGCATGTGGGGGGGTGAAGATGAGCGAATGTAGCTCGAAGAGAACTCCAAACTCTTTTGCACATCCAAACAGAACATGAAAGGATAGACGTCTTCATCTATTTCTTCTTGACTTTGGGGCACTCTCTGGTATACTAAGTACTATGCATGGCTATGCATGGCTCAGATGTGTTCACCAAATCGCCCAACTCCTCCTCTCGTCTTGGGACCCGTACAGCGGCTGCCTCACCGTGACGGGTCTGGTCCGGCAGCCCTGGTCCCAATCCTGAAAAAAGGGACTCCTGACTCCTCGATATTCCGATGTTCCTCTACAACCTGTGAATTTGGAGGGTATAGTAGCACTCTCTGATACTATAGTATATAGCAAAATGTAGAAAATAGGCTAGCTAGTATAGTTGGAGGCCGTCGCTATTACGGGAGGCCATCGCTAGTAGGTTGGAGGCCATCGCTATTAGGTTGGAGGCCATCCTCTTCTTTAAAAAGTCAACACTCCTCGATATTCCATGTTCCTCAACAGCCTGTGAATTTGCTCCTAGTAGCAATGCGAGGAGCCATTACTAGTAGCGATGCCAGGAGCTACTAGTAGCGTCATTGCCTAGTAGAAATGCCCTTTGTTAATAGTAGTTTGGAGGGTACACTCCCTGATATCATCATGGAAGTCATTCAGGGAGTGTAGAACTTATGAGCTCCACACCTGTCCACCTCCTATCAGCTAGATGAAAAGCAACTCGTTTTTTCTCATGAACAGTGACGTGGCTAAATTAGAGAAGACCGTGGGAGAGAAAGAGTCCTCTATTCTAATCCAAAGGCATGCGGTATAGCCATCCACGTGCCATCTTCATCGAAGAAGGTCGCAGGACGTTTGTTCATCAACACCTCATCCAAGGATATCCAAGGATCATAAGGATCCAAAAGAGACCAAAGGTCCCAGGTCTTCAGGTGAAGGTATTGATAATATGTCACTATTTAACATGTTGCTTGACTTTGACTTGCCCTCCAACCAGTTTCATCCTTCCAAGGAAGGTCCAAGTGTTGGTCTTCACCCCAAACCAACGGCTCCTCCGAATCCCCGGCTCGGGCTCCGCCTTGGAGGCTGTCAACGGTGCTTCCTTGGAGGCAGCAAGCGGAGAGACGAGCGGATGGGCCACCTGTGGAGGTGGGGGGGGACTCCACAGACATGGAACCCCCAAATCTTCGTCGGAAAAGCAGTAGAAAGACGAGCAGACGAGCTGATCTGGAGGTTCATCGACTCAGCTTCTCTTGACTGGTTGAGAAGTTGAGATCTCATCAAAAACTGAAAGTGAGCTGTCTGGGCCGCGTGTCTCAAAAGCGATGTGTTTGTTTTTGGAAGACCTTCGAAGCATTCTGAATGACCTTGCTCCAGGATCTTCCAATGGGTCACCTATGAACTACCAGTACGCAATGCCATGCAATATATATATATATATAAATATGAAATACCAATACCAATACAATACGGATCACCTATGAAATGCCAATATCATCATAGATTTCAGCAACTCCTCATGAAACTCATGCTTTCAATGTGGATTCTGAAAGCCTCAGGTGGTGGGTTCGGTTCCCTTGGAGAGAGCTGACCCGACATGCAGCCAGAAGGCTTGAGGTCCCTAGTATGTAACAACCCTGGCATTGGAGATGTTTATCATATGACTAATCAAGATATATAACAAAAAAATGTTACATTAACGCATTAATATATTGAGTATATGTTACATACCTAAATTCATATATGGTATAATTTGATACTAATGTCGACGTGATCGTCCTGGACCCTTCGAACTGGAACTATCAGGAAAGTTCACCTCCAAGACTCCAAGACCAATTGAAAAGGATGCATATAATATAGACCCTTTGGGGCTACATTCACCAACAAAATCACTGCAAATGGAGCCCAGACTTGCATACATGGAGCATTTGAGACATGGCTTTGTTGCTCCATGATCCGATGATCTATCTCCTCCCACACCACCCGGAGGTTCCCGGCCTCGGCGCCCGGCGCCGCTGGCCCCGCTGCACCTGGCGATGAATATCACACGAGACCCCCGGACGAAATGGATGAGGGGGTCCTCACCTAACCAGTTGATGGGTGGACAGGGGTATATCACAGAAAAAACATCTCATCTCTATTCATCTCTATGTTGTCTGACCATGTCTGACTGATAGTGACAGTCATTCTTTACAGTTGGCCTCACACCCCAGCAAAAAGTGCAAGGTTCCTGCATAATTCTTAAGTCGGGCTAGGAGATACTGCAGTCATCTTCAGTCGGACCATGCCTGGATCCAGCAATCTGACTCCTGCACCTTGTAATTAAAGCAGCTAAACCCACAGGAGGTCAGGGTTCTGCTTGCGATGCCTTTCAACAAAATAAATACAACAAATTACATCAAATTACATCATATTACATCAAATAACAGTAGCAATTGATCCATCGCAAAAACCCTAAACGCCATTGCCCCAACGTCCCGGCCCCAACGGCGGCAGCTCCTTTTACAGCAGCTGGCACGGAGGCCTCAGCTCCTGCAGCTCCGGCTCCGTCACCAGGGGCCCCGGAAGGCCGGTGTCGCCGGGGACCTCCTCGCAGACCAAGGGCAAGTCGTTGGAGAGGAAGCACAGCAGCGAGGAGGGATTGTCAAAGACATAGCCTCCGGCGGTTCGGGGTTTCGGGTTGTGATCGGCGGGCGCGGTCTTAGGGTTTGGGAACAGGATGCAGGAGCCTAGGCATGGCCTAATAGCTTGCTAGTTCTCTGTTGCAAGCAGGGAATCTGGCTCAGAGAGACTTCCCTTGCTCTTAAGTATAGATTTGACTGCAATGATTCCCTTTGCCAAGTGGATCTGACTGATATAGTTCCATCCATTTGCCCATCCTTCTTCTGATCTCTTTGTGTGTCTTTCAAAGGACTGTGCACCTACTATCCATGATCCACTGAGCGTCGACGAAAGAAACCAATCAGTTCTTCACAGCTGGACCAACGTCCTGAAACTCCTGCCAATGGAAAAGATCCATACACAACCCGCCGGGAAGACCGAGCTCCGCGGTCGTGGCATGCATGGAACAAAACCCCGTGATAGGAAGATCCGAATTCGTTCTCAACCAACTTCAGGGGACGCTGACAACACAGTGGTGCCTTGGATCTGTTCTTGGAATCAAGATGGTCATCCAGTGAAGATTCATGTTTTTTTTCATAACATGTGGTCATCCAAGAAGGTCCTCCTTTCATTTTTAAAATGGTCATCCACTTCTCCAGTCTGTGCATCTCCGAAGGACAAAAAACAACGAACGAACGAACTTCCTTGGCTATAGGATTGGGCTGCAGAATAGCCTACGGACCTTCGCAAGAAACACTCATGACTCAGGAGCTGTTCAAGTGTCAAGTAGCTGAGTCCAGCAAGTGTCAAGTAGCTGAGTTCCGGTGAAAACAGCTCTCTCCCAGATCGGACGAAGCCAGTACCTTGAGACAATACCTTTATAGGGAGACCGACCGCAGGCGTAGTAAACCCCTGCAAGGTCCGGAACATAGAGCAACCCAGCGGCCAAAGGGTCTTAAAATACACTAAACCCCGAACCCCCTTTAAAAATAAAACAGAAACACATAACACACAACACAACACACACACACACACAAGAGCCCCAAACCCTCCAGTCACGACCGGTAAACCACGTGCCGAACGGCCAGACCTCCCCGCTCGAATCGGCCAGGAAGCGATGTTCCGTCGCCCAGAACTCAGGTTTCATCACATCCTGCGGCGGAACAACCATACCCCGCTTCAGCAAAAACCAAGAGAGGGTTGAACAGCCCGTCTTGTCGCCCATCCCATATGTACCACTACAGGGTCCTAGTTCTGGTCTCTCAACCTCTCTTGGAGTGGCTGCAAGTCTGGACCAGACCTGGACCCTCTATTGAAGCTAGAGGAGAGGGGTAAAAAGAAGCAGGGTGACAAGATCGAGCAACCAGCTAAGAGGAGTGGTTTTAATCCTTTTGGACCTTTTGGAGATGTGTGGCCGGACCCAAGGGACCCTCTTTACCCTCTGGATTGGGACCCGGATTTTTATAGCGAAGTGGGGGAATGGGAAGCTTTGGAGGGAAGGTGTTCTAAGCATGATGTGCACCTCTGGAGTATCTGTTGGGATGAGAGGATGTCAATCGGTCGATCCCGCACGTGGATTTCAGGAATATAATTCACACACACACGCATAATGAGCTTGTGCCAGTCCCAAAGTCCCAATCAGGGCCGCACACGAAAACGAGTGACCTAGTAGCTATACTACTAGTACAACTTCAATAAATATCATTATCCCCCAAAGATGTTTCGTTCGAGTCATGAACCTTCTGGAGGGACCGATGTGCCGGACCGGACCGCGAATGACCGGTGGACCGGAGAAGACCACCGTGAGGTCTTCACCCCCAGATCGGTCGACCGGCAGTTTTCGGTCAGACGAGCGGTTTCAGGCGAGCAAGAAAAACCCAAAGACTCCATGTACCAGAACACTTCACCATACCCAAACACCTACATTGACCCCCCTGGCACCACTCTAATGTAGGCAATACGGCATACATGGAGTGTCTGGGATACTTCACCACCTGCCACTTTTGGAGTCTCCATTGCAGTCACCAGAACTCGGAGGCCAGAGATGAATAAGTGCTGGTATGGAATAACTCGTTGCGTGCAGAAAAGAAAAGGCCCATGACCCATGATCCATGACCGCTCGTTTCCACCTCGCCACTCCACCGGAGGTGCCACTCCGATTCATTCATGTTCTTCGCAGCCCCATTCGTGCTCACCGGATCGAGCCATGACTGTGCAGTCAACGGTCACCAGAACTCGCCTGGAACCAGCGTTCTTGGAAGCTGTCGCCCGCCACTTGATTCCAGGCCGTGAGTTGCTCGGGACGGCAACGCGCATCTCCTGGAGGAGCACCAAAGTCAGCAAGACCCGGTGCACCGGGTGCCGGAGTACCCGCCCCACCCAGGTGTTTTGGGGGGTTTGACCAGAACCACCGAAAAATGCTGAAAATAAAAGTGTTGTAGTAGTAGTTTTTTTTGGAACTAGTGACTACAACACCAGGTCAACCTTTCAATTGTTCATGGTCTTTGAAGGACAGGGGAAACGACATGCAAATAATTTGTCACTCATCAGGGATGGCTGGGATCAGGTGAAGCGTGTGATTGCTAAGGACCATGATTCATCATGATTCATTCAGATAATTCGTCACTCATCATCTTGAAGCTGGTTTACGCTTGTACCACCAAAGACACGGTACTTAATACTCCCTGAATAATTCACTGAATGGTTACGTGGATGGCATGGCTCCGTAAGGATGACCAAACAGGTGGTGAACTCCACTTCCATGATGAGAAAAAGCGGGTATACCGAGCTCTCAGTGGAAAGAAGTTGCCCGGACCAGATCCTAAGCCCCCAGGCAACTCAAACAGGATTCACCAGGCTTACTGTGTTTCCACTCCAAAAGGAAGGTGCAAGAGTGATTTTTTGCTCCATGTTCCGGGACACCGGGGGTGCATGGCCCACTCACTGGGGCGTTTAAACATACACCCCCCCAAAAAGGACCTCCTGGTGTCATTTCACCATGTAATGTGATTTCTCCTGTTGACTGTTGCTGGAAGTGTTGGGATGTCCTGGTGATGTTCATCTCTACGCGAGGTGAACCAAAACTACGGTGGTTACCGTGGTTCAAGTTCCTCAGTAATGCACCAAAACACCTGCTAGTCTGTCAAGTAAAACCATCACTCCGGGGGTCATGCCCTCAGCTTCCATGTGACTTGGTAAGTCTGGGGGGTGCTTCGTCTTTGTCTTTGCCTTGGCTCCTTTGGCGCAAAGGGCACACAGGGGCACAGGCAGCTGTTCCAGTGTGCTGGGAATGTAATTTTCCAGAAGAGTGAAATCATTCTGCAAGATGCCCCGCACGTGGTCCCGCACATAGGAATGCTGCAAATCCTGAAAACGGTGGACCGGGTCGTGGTCGTGCGGTCTGTGCTGTGGTGCTTTGTTGAAGGGACGTTTTCACTGCTTGGATGGTCTTCAGGACTGACGTCATAGGAATTGTAGGACTGCTGGAATACCAGCAGTTAGATGGACCTAATGTAGACTCTTGATGGACCTAAACCACCCCATTTGAGTTGAAACACCTCTTCATATGGAGGAGGGTTTATTAATCAAGAGTCTACATTACACTGCTGCTATAGGGTGGTGATTTAGACTCCGAGCGGTGCATCCAATGGAACAGAAGAGCAAACTCGACCCTCGGCACCGAACGACCGCAAAACAGGTCATACTACCTCTGACGGAACGCGCGAAGAAGGTCATACATGGTTGGTTGAAGTCACCGTCTCACCGCGGATGAAGAGATGCAGGTCATGCTAGGTTGTTTTTGAGACTTCAGATCCTTTCCAATGTGATGCGGTCAAAACAAAACCTATGATCATATATATATATATATGATCATATATGATCTGCAATGATGCCGATCTTTCCAAGGCAGGCGGGTGTGGCCGGTTCAAGTCACCGTCTCACCAAGGCGGCACCGTGGGCGGTCGCCGAGGCGCAGGGTTGATGCCGTAGCGTCGCTCGAAGTGTTGCCAGAAGCGATCAGCGCCCAGCTGGGCCAACTCAGGCTGGACCTGGTCCTGAGTCTACGGCGTGGACAGTGACAGTCTGGTGAAGACATGGCCCCCCCAAAATGAGGGTATATGATATGAAAAAGTCCTTGCTTGTAGCAAATCCTCCGTAGAGTTTTTTGGATACTTTACTGAGCAAACAGTGCAAACACTTAAGTCAGGTGACCCCGACCCTGAGACCTGAGAGGCCACTTGGAAGAAGGCAGGGCACATGTATTGAGAAACTACCCTGACAAAGGTTGGCTCTGACAAGCCTGCTGACATTTCCCAGCCTTTATGCTAGATGATCTGTCAGAACTGGCATGCAATCTGACATCTGTTCTACCAATTGCTTATGCATCAGCATTTGCTCTGATATGTGTTCAACAGTTTGTTCTGAAATGTGTTCTGACATGTGTTCTGGCTGGCATCAAGTCTGGCATGTGCTTTGGCCAGAAAGTCAAGGGCACACTCACCACTGCACAGCCAGAACCACCACACGTGCAGAGCACACCACACCGACGCCAAGCCCGAAGAAGAGGGCGGAGGAAGGACAGGGTGGTGACGGAGGCGACGGGCGGTAGCACTGGTCTGGAGACCTTCACCTGACAGGTTTTTTTGACTTTGAAGCTCTTCGAGATCCGAGACCGCGAGCTATCACCTGACAGGTGGGGAAATAGAAACTTCCCCCCCCAAAAAAGCCACAAACACGCAGAACATCAGAATACTCTTGACGGAAGTTCCGGAAGTATGTCGAAATGGCAACGTATAGTGCATCCAGGGGGGTCCAAAAAGCAAACACAAATGGACTCGGACTGATGGAACCCCCCCCAAAGTCTGAAGGACTGTTGAACCCCCCCGGGAGTCTGAAGGATACACTGAAATCATCATGGGACACCGTGGGAGGTGGAACCCGAAAACCAAGCAGGTGGTGAACTCCACTTCCAAAGTGATTTCAGGGAATGTGAAAACATCCGTTGTGGATCATGGACCCCTAGCGTTCAACAAACCTCTGGCCCACCAGGCGGCCAGAAGACTACTCTGTGACCTAACCGATGTGTGAACCTGCGCCGTGCGAACGCCCGAAGAAACAAGGCTTGAAACATACAAACTCAATAAGCTTCGAAGATTCCGAACCGAACCTTTGAGATTTTGCCTGGGGAGCCCCAAAACTTGGGCCTTTAGGGGTTCTGAAACCACTTAGGTGTGGAATCGCGCCAGTCCAGCTGTGATCAAGATCGTTTGGCACCGCGGTTTTGGGCGATGGCATTCTTGGGCAGCCCCCGGTGAGAAAGACCTTGTCTACTTATCTTCCTTACCGGCCGAGACAAATTTCTACTCAACCTGTTATTCACGACAACTACTCATTTCTACATATTACCAAGTTTGTACCGCGTGAGTAAAGGTATGATGCTAGGTTGTACATAGAGGACAGTAGGAATGTTTTTGAAACCGTTGTTTTTGTTCTCTGCTTTTAAACCTTTCAAGCAAGTAAGTGCTGAGACACGTGGGGAGACAAGGCAAAAACAGCAGCGGCACACAAAACGCCGATCACACAAGCACATAAGTGGGGAGACAAGGCAGCAGGGGAAAACAAAATGCGGATCACACAGGCAGATAAGTGGGGAATAGTGGGGAGACATGCAAGGAGACAAGTCAAAAACAAAAAAACAAGGCCGAAACAGCAGCGGTAAACCAAAAAACGATTAGGCACCCAGTGAATTGAGAAGTAAGAAACCACTATGGGTGTCCAAGAGTCTTCAAGGCTTCCTCATGGTCCCTCCGGCCCATGATCAGCTCAGTGGCCCAGTGGCCCGTGCTCCCAATTCTGCTCACCACCCTCCACTCCGATCCCACCGGGGCGCCGGATCGTGCTCCGACCCGCTCAGGCTCACGGCGCGGTTCGCCGAGACGTAGAGCTTCAGCGGCCGAGGCCATGCGCGGCGCAGCAGCTCCTGGAGGCCAAGCGGCGGGTTCACCGAATTGGACTAGTACCCAGACACGACCCATGGGACTGCCATATATATGATATATGCCTACATTGACCCGGCATATATGGCATACATGGAGTGTCTGGGGTATGGTGGACTTTTGAAACGGCTTTTCAAGGATCCTGAAATCCTGAGCACCTTTTTAACAGAACTCCAAGGGGGGGGCCGTGAAACCTGCGCATCGTCCATCGGAAAGGAATCGATGTCGCTGAAAGGGAAGCCAGGCTTTCTGATCGTCAGGGATTCAGCCGCAGAAATGCACGTACTCGGACTGCCTCGGACTGCTCATCTGTCTGCCGCTTCTTTTCAGGCTTTTCTGCCAACAAACGAACCAAACTGAACTTCGCTGAAGGCATCGATCATTGAGTCAATGCCATGAAACGTGAGTCTCACGAAACACGGCTGCCCAGTTGTATTCAACCACCAAAAAAGAACGGAAACTTATATACAATATACTCCGATCACATGGGGACGCAAAGCCAGGATCCTCGGACCACAGGCACCCTTTCAACTTCCAGACTCAGTCTGCCATGGGGTAAGGCTTGCAGGTATTGGCTTTGAGATATACAATAAGACATGACGAAGGAATCCGGAACGGTCAACTGGGTCAAAGAGCTACAGCCGTAAAAGGCGTAGGCTCCGGAGCCAATTTCCGTCACAGAGTTGGGAACTGTCAAGCTGGTCAAAGAGCTACAGCCGGAGAAGGCGCCTCCTCCAATCTTGGCCACAGAGTCAGGAATTGTCACGCTGGTCAAAGAGCTGCAGCCACGAAAGGCTTGATTTCCAATCGTCCTGACCGAGTCCGGAATCGTCAAGCTGGTCAAAGAGGGGCAGCCAGAAAAGGCATCTCCTTCAATCTTGCTGACCGAGTCCAGAATTGTCAAGCTGGTCAAAGAGCTACAGTCGGAAAAGGTGCCTTCTTCAATCTTGGTCACAGAGTCAGGAATTGTCACGCTGGTCAAAGAGCTGCAGCCACAAAAGGCATGAGTTCCAATCATCCTGACCGAGTCCGGAATTGTCAAGCTGGTCAAAGAGCGGCAGCCAGAAAAGGCGTCATGTCCAATCGTCCTGACCGAGTCCGGAATTGTCAAGCTGGTCAAAGAGCTGCAGCCAACAAAGGCATGAGTTCCAATCGTCCTGACCGAGTCCGGAATTGTCAAGCTGGTCAAAGAGC